ATCACCAACAAATATATGAAAACTGTTCAATATCACTAGCCATCAGGGAAATGCAAATCAAAACCACAATGAGGTATCATTTCACATCAGTGAGAATGGCCATTATAAAACGACAAAAACAAATACTGGTGAGAATGTGGAGAAAGAACTGACACTGTTGCTAAGGATGTAAATTTAGTACAGTCACTTAAGAAAACAGTATAGACTCCTTAAGAAACTAGAAATAGAACTATCCACTGTTGTGTATGTATCCAAAAGACATGAAATTATTACATCAAAGAGAGACATACACTATCATGCTTATTGCAGCACTGTTCACAACAATCAAGATAATTCATCAACAATGGATAGAGAACATTTGGCATGAACACACAATGGAATGTTATTCAGTCATAAAAAGGAATGAAATCTATCATGTGCAGCCAATGGGATGGACATCATGTTAAATGAAATATGTCAGATACAGAAAGACAAATACCCCAATGTTCTTTCTTACATGTGGAGGCTAAAAAACAATCTGAACCCAGAATAGTAATAGAAGCTGGGAGGGGCAAGAAGGGATAGAAGGAGATTGGATAATGGGACCAAATTGGAGTTAGAAAGAACTCCTAGTGTTACACAGCATAGTGAGGTGATCACAGCTCACAATAATTACTAAGCATTTTCTAAACAGAGGAGCTCCAAGGCTCTAATTATTAAGTAATGACAAAGGGGAAAATGTTAATTGTTCTGATTAGATCAATACACATAACACAGTATTGAAATGTTGCATTGTGCCCCATAAATGTGTACAATTATTATTCTACAAAAATTTGCTTCAAAAAGTAAATTTAAAAGTGCTGGAAATCTAGATATCCCCATGCAGAAGGATAAAAGTGGATTCTTATAACACAAACAAAAATCAACATGAAATGGATTAAATGTTTAAATGTAACACCTGAAGCTGTAAAACTACTAAAAGAATACACAGGGAGAGAGCTCTATGACATTGGTCCAGGCAAGGACTCTTTGGATATGATTCCAAAATACACAGGTAACAAAATTAAAATAGACAAATGGGATTGCAGCACATTAAAAACAATTTCTGTGTGGGCTGGCTCTGTGGTGCAGTAGGTTAATCCTCTGCCTGTGGTGCAGGCATCCCATTTGGGTGCCAGTTCAAGTCCCGGCTGCTCCACTTCCAATCCAGCTCTTTGCCATGGCCTGGGAAAGCAGTCAAAGATGGCCCAAGTCCTTGGGCCCTTGCACCCGCGTGGGAGACCAGAAGAAGCTCCTGGCTTTAGATCGGTGTAGCTCCAGCTGTTGCGGCCATCTGGGAAGTGAACCAGTGGATAGGAGACCTCTCTTTCTCTGCCTCTCCTTCTCATTGTCTGTAACTCTACTCTATTTATAAATAAATAAATAAATGAAATCTTTAAACAAAATCTCTGCACAGCAAACGGAACAGATAGTGAAGAAAGAGACAACCCATGGAATGAGAGAAAGTAAGGAGAATATGTGTAAACCATACATCTGATAGGGGTTCACATTCAAACAAGGAACTCAAATAACTCAAGGGCAAGAAAAGAAATAACCCGATCAAAAATGGGCAAAGTTGAGGCCGGCACTGTGGCACAGCTGGTTAAGCGGCCACTTGTGATGCTGGCATTGTGGTTTGTGTCCGAGCTGTCCCACTTTCGATTCAGCTCCCTGTAATGGCCTGGGGAAAGCAGAGGAAGATGACTCAAATGTCTGGGCTTCTGCCACCAACGTGGGAAACCTGGATGAAGCTCCTGGCTCTTGCCTGGCCTACCACTAGCTGTTGAGACCATCTGGGGAGTGAAGCCCAGATGGAAGACCTCTTTGTCCATTTCTCTCTCTTGTAACTCTTTCAAAATAAATCTTTTTCTAAAAAATGGGCAAAGCACTTACATAGACATTTCTCAAAAGAAGGTATAGAAGTAATCAACAAGTTTGTGAAAAATGGTCAGCATCTCCAATTAGGGAGACACAAATTAAGCCACAATGAGATATCACTTTACACCTGTTAGAATGGCTGTTATCAAAAAGACAAGAGATAACAAGTGTTGGCAAGAATGTAGGGGAATGCTAATACAGCCATCACAAAAAAACATTACAGAGGTTTCTGAAGAAACTAAACATGGAACCATATGATCCAGCAATTCCAGGTCTGAGTATCTATGCAAAAGAATTGAAATCTGCATGTCAGACACTGAACTCCCACATTCACTGCAGTACTAGGTACAACAGCCAAGTCACAGAATCCACCTAAGGATTATCGACAAGTGAAAGGACAAAGAAAATATACTATATACAACATATAATGGAATACTGCTCAACCTTAGGAAGAAAATGTTATTTTTGACACCATTAACAAACCTGGAAGACACTATTCTAAGCGAAATTAGCCAGACATGAAAAGAGAAATGCTACATACCATGACTTATATATGGAATCTAAAAAAGCCAAACTCAAAGACACAGGGAATAGGGCAATGGTTGCCAGGGGCTGAAAGAACAGTGGGAGGGAATGGGGAGACATGGGTAAAAGGATACAACGTTTCAGTTAGCAGAGAGTAAATATGATTTTCACATCTACTGCAGTTTGGTGACTATAGCTGGTAGAATATAATATTTCAAAATTGCTAGAGTAATTATAAACATTTTTACAAGAGGATAAGCATGTGAGGTGATAAATATGTTAAATAGCTGATATAATAACACTATATATATATCACATTATAGCCCATTTATGCATACAATTATTATTTATCTACTAGATTAAAAATGAAATAAAAATAAAGGAGGGGTTATGGGGAAAAGTTTATCCTATATCATCTTGTAAATAAGTCCACCCTTTTACATAACAGATTTGCTTTTCTTTTTAAGCAATAAGGCATGAATATGGTAAAGAAAACATTTTTCACCAGAACAGTCAAGTTTAAAGTTTAATACATACACACGAACCTTGCTTTTTTTATTTCACTATGTAATAGGACATTTCCTAAAATGGACCCATATTTTATGTAAAATGCTCCTGGGCTATCCAGATTCTCAAGCATGTGGTTAATGGTAGCAGTTTTCCCAACACCAGAGGCTCCTGAGAGAGGGGGAGGGGGACACATTAGGTTAGATTTATATGCAAGAAAATGACATATGTTCACATGTTACGATGAACCAATAACATTTCCCTTCATCTGAAGATTGCATGGAACAGAGGTTTTTGCTTTTCCACTTTCTTAAAAAAGTGGTTAAATCAAGGAGTGAATATGAAAACCTCTCAAATTTTCTAAATTACTTGTACCTCTTACAAAATAGATTAGGAGCTGACCATTATTTTTATGTAACGTTCATTGAAGCCTGTCACCAACATTCTTTGCTTTTAGAGTGACAGAAAGACTACACGTAATGAAAATTTTTGCCAACATGATCTAAAGAAAAATTCGATAAATTCTTTATGAAGCAGAATGAAGACCTGTGACTTTACAATTCATTACATATTAAAGTAAAAATGAAAATTTTCTTAGACCAAATTAGAGGCAACATGTGGTTATCTGAGAGTCACACATTCCCTGGATTCTTTGCACACGGAACTGAGAAAGCAGAACTGTTGCCTGTGGTGATACTCGGCACAGTCAGAGAACTGGAAAACGTGACCAGTGGGCTGGGGTAAGTGTCAAGAGTGAGCAGGAGCTAAACTGAAATACTCTTTCAGGAATGGAAAAAGAGTCAAAAAAATCTTAACACTGTGTTGAGGAGCCGGCGCTGTGGCGCAGCAGGTTAAAGCCCTGGCCTGAAGCGCCAGCATCCCATATGGACGCCAGTTCTAGTCCCAGCTGCTCCTCTTCTGATTCAGCTCTCAGCTATGGCCTGGGAAAGCAGTAGAAGATGGCCCAAGTGCTTGGGCCCCTGCATGGACATGAGAGACGCAGAAGAAGCTCCTGGCTCCTGGCTTTGGATCGGCACAGCTCCGGCCATTGCAGCCATCTGGGGAGTGAACCATCAGATGAAAGACCTCTCTCTCTGTCTGTACCTCTCTTTGCAACTCTGTCTTTCAAATAAATAAAGTGTTGAGGAATCATGTGTGTAAATTTAATTAAACCAATCAATGCTACTGTGAGTGGTCCTCCAAGGATCTCAACCCTATCCACTGGCTATTAGGCCCAACCTGAATAATCCCTTGGATCTCCTGGCATTTTTCATGAGGGTAATGAAAGGCGGAGGAAGATTTATAATGTGCTGTATTGGCATCCACACACTATTGTTGAGAAGCTAAATTGTTCTAGTCACCGAAACTCTTCAGGGCAGAGTTTTTTCCCACTAATAAAGTAAAATGATCAGACTACATAGCCTCTGGACCCCCTGACTCTGAAACTCTCCTTCCGTGAACTTCCTTTAGTACCTGTGAGAAGGACGGGGTAGGAATTCTTTAGAAGCAGGCTCATGAGGAAGGAAAGGCACGTGGTGTCTCTGGTGGCCGTGTAGCGGATGCTCTCCCCCTCTTCTGCCATCTTCAAGAAGTCTTCACTCGACCCGTGCAGATCAGTTAGCAACGAAGTTCCTGTCAACATTTTTTAAAGTTTTAAATAACCGAGAAAGAAATATTACTCTAATCGTTCGGGCACTCAGTCCTTCCTACAGCAATCTGCACGCCACAGAGCAATTTAAACGTCAGCAGATCAGCAAAACGGCCACACGTGCTTGGAATCTGCCATTCTCAGACACTGTGTTAGCAGCTCCAGCCTTTCTCACTGCTTGAACTGTGTAAAATTCACATTTTAAAAAGTAAAAACCAGTTGAGTACAGATAATTTGACATGAAACACACACACACTCACAAAACCAAACTAAACACACACATTCACAAAACCAAACTCCAAAAAAAAAAACAAACCCCAAAGCTCCCTGGATCTAAAGCTTTCTAAAAATACTATCCAAATTCTTCATTCCATTACACAGCCAAAACTCCTCAAAGAGGTACATAAAACATAGTCTTCCTGATCTTTTATTCATTCTTTTCTTCCTTTATAAAAAAATATATTTGAAAAGGAGACAGACACTGGGTCACTCCCCAGTGTCTGCAATGACCCGGGCTAGGCTGCAGAAGCTGGGAGGTGGGAATTCAATCCAGGTCCCCTATGAAATAAAGTTTGATACCTTTGGCTAAGCATGAAGATATAGACTCTCAATACCTACAGAAATGATAAATCATATGCCAGTTTATGTTGATTAACAATCCTACTTATAGGCAATTATTTCATATATGTGTGAAATATTACCCCGCATATGTGCAATTACTTGAGTCATCATCTGCTGCCTCCCAGGGTTTGCATCTGCATGAGATTTGGGAGCCTGAGCTGGGACTAGAATCCAAGCACTGTTGTTAAGGTAGCTCGGGAGACATTAGCCTATCTGTGTGAGGGAGGGCTCCCAGATGGCCAATTAGACAGGCATACACACCTCCATGCACACCCATCTTCTTCACAGAGAAGAACCAAAGTAACAAGTGAATAACTGCGTTTCAAGGTGACTGCGCCAGGGAGAACATTGACACTCAGCCAGGAAGACATGGGGATCCAGGAGGACTTGGAGACCGGGGATGGCAGCAGAGAGAGAGGAACACAGCCCACTGATAACCAAGCACCTGTCTTACACGTGACAGGAGGCCGTCCCCATTGTAGGCAAAGGATAAAGGGGAGATCCCCAGCTGGCCCCATCTCCCACTTGCAGAGACTGGGTGCTGGCAGTCCCAGCCACAGGAGTTGTCACAGACCTGGAGCCCAGTAAGGGGTGCTACCTTCAGTAGCACAGAGGCCTGGCCTCAAAGAAGGAACTCATGTCTTCCCCCTACCCCTGGAGAACAGACTGCAGCAGGAATGCATGTGTCCCGCAGGGACACAAGCTCCTCTCCATCCCCTGGGGTCCCACAGCTATTCTGCCACACCAGCGTCCTCAGGAACCCAAGGAGATCCAGCAGCAAGAGCCAGCACCCTAGCCCCAGCAGTGCCCTGCTCTACAGGAACTGGTGGTTCAGCACAGCAGGTGGGGATCCTGCCCCCCAGGGCCTCAGAAGCGGGGACGCTTGTCCCTGGGGGTGTGGACATCCCTGGTGGCCCCTGCTCCCTGGCACTGGAGCAGTACACCCCACTGGGTACCACACACTCCAACCACATCCCTGCTGAACTGCACTTTAAGAGGGAATTATTAATCCAAAAATTGTACTTTGGAAATTTATATTTATTAAATAAAAGTTGGAAAAAAAGAGGGAATTATTAAAGGTAGAAAGAGAGAGACAGAGAGAATGATCTTCCATCTGCTGGTTCACTTCCTGTATGTCCACAACCACCAGGGAGAGGCCGTGCTAAAGCTAGGCATCGGGAACTCAATCTTAGTCTCCCACATTGCTGGCAGGGACCCAAGTACTTGAGCCATCATCTGCTGCTCACATTAGCAGGAAGCTGGATGGGAAGTGGAGGAGCTGGGATGTGAAGCAAGCACTCTGATTTAACCGTTGGGACAAATGTCTATCAGTGCCCCACACTCATGCTGGATTGCAGCAGGGTTCTACTCTGACTCCAGCCATGCCCCTGGCACCAGGAAGCCAGTGTGACCCCTCCAGGAAGCCGGGCCAGTACTCCCATGACCCCAGTCACTGAGGACTGGAACGTCCAGAACCCTAGTTCTGCCCCTCAAGCCACCACCTGGACCTGCACACCACTGGTGGGACCGAGAAGAGTGTCCATGCTCCCGCCATGAGTTACAACAGAAGACAGAGCCTACACTATAGTGCCCAACTGGGACTGAAGACAAATTAGCCCACCAAGCTGACACTCAAAGACGAAGCCTTTTACAACAAAAGCCACCCTTCAAAAGTGCCAGAGGTAACCGATATGCCTGATGCACAGCTCTCAAAGAAGGAACAGAAGAAGGATGAAAAAGCAAGATAATAAGATGCCTCCGAGGGGGCACAGGAACACTTTAGTAACAGGCTCCAAAGAGAAGGAGACTGACGAAATGCCCAATCAAGAATCCCTAAGGATGATTAGAAGGACACTCAAAGAGCTACAAAAGAACACAAGAAGTTCAGTGAAATTAGGAAAACAATGCCATGCTATGAATGAGAAATTCAGCAGAGAGACAGACGTCCTGTAAAAGAGCTCAACAGAAATCTTTTTGCAGGCCTCAAGCTGGCAACCTAAACGGAGATGTGAAGGAGCCACCACTTCCACATCCCTAAGGATTCTTTACCCTTGTTTTCCTGATGACCCTTCAGCACGTATGTATGATAATAGTTCACTCTTACTGATAAGTTGTTTTCAGTTGTTCCATGTGCATATTTGCCATTCGGCCAAATAGACTGAAAATTCTTGGCCTTCCTTTTTCTATTTCCTTTTATAAAATTCAATACCAGGTGCTACATTACCACTGACTAGCTATGATATACCATTAACATGACTTTAAAAACTCACTTTCTCCAAATCTTTCATTTTTACTCATCAAATCGAAGAAAGCGTCAAGAATCCTGCAGAGGGTTGTGACGATTGTCAGGTCCTGTACGGGAATCAGCTGAAATTTCTGATGCTTCTTTATAAATTGGAGCCCATGTGTGACACTTTCATTAATCATAAATTCAAGACAACTCACTCCTGATTGATTGACAACTTTGGAAGTTTTCAAAAGCCATGACTTAACATAAGGCTCCCATCCCAGATCAACAGGATCCTGTTAATAAAAGGCACAGGGTAACTGTATGTAAATAAACTAAAATGCTATGATCCTCCTTGCTTCTTACGATTCCTTTACATCACCGTGGTCCCTGCCAAATATGGCTTACAACGATCACTCATTAAAGCGCCAATGTCCAAAAACAACTGAAAGAATCATCATTCTCTGGAATGATTTTTCACTGTGATCTTACAGCAAGCAAGCAACAGGGGGGCTTCGTATAGGGAGGTGTGTTAAGGCCACAGGTACATGGTGAGGGGAGCTGCTCACCAGAAGTCAGCACTGTATGGATGAGCTTTACAGTCAAGTGGATTAGAGCATAGCACTCATCATAGCTAATCATTTCAGGTCTAGAAAACACTTCTTTGTCATGTCTTCTACCTCTTCACAACTTTCTTGATAATGTGTTTCCCAAATCCTAAGACTCATGGATTGAGGAAGGAAATGTCTCAGAGCAAATTTTCTGATATTGGGAAAATAATTCACAGCAACAGTCTGTCTACAGAAAGCACTACTTACATTGGGCAAACAGTGGACACCCTGTGACTGAGGTGGTATTTCTATTCATATTGCATTCATGTTCAATTCTGGATTGTGAGGCTCTGGGGGACACAAAACTTCTCAACTACTGGGATCGCTCTACTGGATCCAGAAGGGAAAATAAAATAAACATGAACATCCTGTAGATAATGACTGGTTACTATCCTGAACAACACATTTTCTTTGAAAGGAATCTGGTTTAAGAAAAAAAAAAAAAACTTACCATGTACACCATTGCACATCGGCTGACTGTAGCAGGACTGGCCTGAGAGAGATTGTCCACCTCAAAAATCACTCTGATTCTGTTAGTTAAAGCTATTCTCTCACTGTTTGCCAGGCACAGCATTCTCGTGTCATCTAGCACAGAGTTTAGATTTTCTACCCACAAGGCATCCACTGGACCATCGAAGACAATCCATTGCCAATCAAAATCTAGAGAGAAAAATATTTTTAATGTAACTGAAAATACTCCGTCTTCTTTCAATAAAATCTTGCAAATTTTCTGCTTTGTTTACAAGAGATTTTCCAAGGTGAAAAATGATATTCTTGAAAAGAGTAGAGCAAATATGCTTATATGTAGTCTTTAATATTTATCAGATATGAATAAATATTCATACTAAACACTTAGTCAAGCTTTCAGTATTGTTGAGACATTCTTAGTTTAATGACATAATTAATCTCCAAATACGGGTACTGGATAGAGCCATGATTTTGTTATAACATGGTTGTGAGTTTGCCCCTTCCACCCAGCTACAGTTTTTAGATTTGCTGCTTCTGGGGAGTAGCAAAGGGAAACAGACGCCCTTGGAAGAAAGAATCAAAGAGACAGAACTTAGAGTGTATCACACTTGGAACCCATTTACTTATTCCATACTGCTGCAGTCTGTACGAGCTGCTTCAAAACCACAGGAAGCTCTTTCTCACAGCTCTGAAGGCTCTGAAGTGCACAGTCAAGGATCAGTGTGGGGGCCGTCGACTCAGTTCACGGAAGGGCAGCTCCTTGTTGTGTGGTGGAAGGGGCCCTTTCGTCTGTCCTTACTTCCTCCTCCCTCATCTGTCCATCTGTCTCTCTTTGCATTTGAAAGGGAGAGAGAGAGAGAGAGAGAGAGAGAGAGAGAGAGAGAGACTGACTCCCCAAATGCCTGCAACAGCTGGGGCTGGGCCAGGCTGAAGCCAGGGCCCCAAGAACTCCTCATGGGAGGCAGGGACTCAACGTATGTGAGTACGTGAGCCAGGGTGTGCTTTAGCAGGAAGCTGTACTGGAAGTGCAGTCACCAGGACTCAAATCAGGAGCTCCCAGGTGGGATATGGCCACCCCAAGCAGCATCCTAGCCACTAGTGCATACGTCTACCCCTCTCGAGGCCCCTTTCCAATGAGAACACTAATCTCACTCATGAGGGCTGCACGCTTGACAGAACCACTTCCTACAGGCCCCATCTCTTAACACTACTACCTTGGAAGTGACATTTCAACATGTAAATATTCAGACCACAGCAATACTTTACACCCACTGCCTGCAATATCATTTTGGAAAATTACTAGGACAGGAGAGGTGTGAATAGGTCATCATGCAGACAGAAAACAGTTAACTGCCTAACAGACTGAAAGACACTGATGTGTGCAAAGACTTGGAAGGTGGAGCTACAATCCATAAGGCCACCACACCTGAGATGGCTCCCACTGGCTGAAACATCTGCCTAGGGATTCTCTCAGAGCCTCCCAGAAGAAGCCTATGCCCAGTCACTGTACTCTCCCAAACATGTCCTAGACAACGTCAGGGAGGAGCTGCAGCAGCAGAAGGCTCTTGCAAAGTAGACATCATACAGGTACTACTGCTGGAGGTTGATCTGAGGCTCAACCTGGAAAAAAGCAGCAATGCTCAGGGCTCCTCGAGCAGCAGACTGTTAGTTCCTTGTCACAAAGATGCTGTGCCCCCGGCCCTTAGCAAGGTGTCTGGCAGAATACAGACTCGCAATGCATTGTAGATGACTCTGTGTGGGCTGTATGATTTAGCCTGGGAATGCACAGACTGTTGGGAGTCCCACTTCAGAGACAAAACTACTGTCGGTCGCCACTGCTGCTTTCCACATTATTTCTTATTTCTACCTTTAATATCTGTGTGGCTCTTGTGAGAGACTAATGGTCACTTACAAACTCAAGGGCTAATTAAGCCCCAGCACTTATACATATATACATACATACATATTTATAATACAAGGTATCTGTGGTAGTATTATACAAGTTACAAATAAACACACAAGGAAAAAGAAATTATATAAGCACAAAATATCACTAGTCAGAAATGTATTTAAATATATGAATATAGCTCATATGGGTTTAGGTTCAAAGACTATCTTCTATATTAATCACATTGGTGGAGTTTAACAACACTTACTGTGACTTTCTGGTATTTTAACGTGTTTATATCTTTCACAATCTTAACATCAGTATCTGCTGTGTCAGAAGAATTTAGATTGAAAACCTAAAATATATAATCAATAATGATTAGCTTTTTATTTTTATTTGATGACACTTTCCAGCTACAAAGGACAATATGCTTTCTTGGTCAATACAAATAGGAAAGGCAAAATGTTCTGTGAAGATCGATACAAAGCCAACATAATGTAACTTAACTGACTTGTGATGGCCCATTTTCTTTAAAAAACCAGTTTTAGCTTTTTTAACCTTTGCAAAGGATGCAAGCTTGTTGTATAATATTCAAATAACACATTTAAACACAAAGAAGAAATCAAAAGTTTTCTGAATTTCTACCACCCACAGACAACTACCAATGACATTTTGGTGCATATTTTTTCCTAGACCGTTCTTTATATCAATTCTCAAATTTTAGGATACATAAGAATTATCTAAAGTTTGCTAAATAATTGCAGATTCTAGGACTCTATTCTTGGAAATTTTTGAGTAGGTTTTGGATGAAGTCCAGAAATTCATATTTTTTAATATGTGCTAATGGTGATTCTAATATAAGTGGCTCTCACATCACCCTTTGAGAAACTCTGGTGTCTCCAGATGGTCAATTTTAATTATTGGGGGCTTAATTACATATCTCCCCAGCCCTGTAAAGTAGTATGTTACCAGCTGAGTGGCACTGGTTTCCTTTACCACCAGGGGAAGTGGGGGAGAAGAGCAAACCCTAGAGCTGTGGTGGGGCACACTGCAGGATCTGAAGACAGAAACTGAGCAAGCAGGCTCAGGCTTCATCCAGACCCCAGCAACACAACAGACTGAAGCTGGTTGCTGTTAGTTCCCAACCTCATCAGCAGGTAAGCAAGTTTCAGGCAATTTCCAAAAGAGAAGAGTGGGGAAGAGATCTTCCATCCTCCAGTTCACTTCCCAAATGGCCACAAAGGCCAGGGCTGGTCCAGGCCAAACACAGGGGCCCAAAATTCTACCTGGGTCTCCTACATGGGAGCAGGAGCCCAAGTACCTGGAGATGGATCAGAGGCAGACTAGCCAGGATTGGAACATACACTTTGATCTGGGACACCAGCATCCCAGGCATTGGCTTACTCCACTGGGCCACAATGCTGGCCCCCGTGTATTTTATTTTTTTATTTTTTGCCAGGAGAGTTATAAAGTGAGAGAGAGAGACAGAGAGAGAGAGTTATAGACAGTGAGAGAGAGAGAGAGAGAGAGAGAGACAGAGAGAAAGGCCTTTCTTCCATTGGTTCACCCCCCAAATGGCCGCTATGGCTGGCGCTGTGCCAATCCGAAGCCAGGAACCAGGTGCCTCCTCCTGGTCTCCCAATGCAGGTGCAGGAGTCCAAGCACCTGGGCCATCTTCCACTGCCCTCCTGGGCCACAGCAGAGCTGGAGTGGAAGAGGAGCAACCAGGACTAGAACCCGGCACCCATGTGAGATGCCAGCACCGCAGGTGGAGGATTAACCAAATGAGCCACGGCGCAGGCCCCAATTACTACACTTTTTACCTTTCCTTTTAGTTGTGCTCAGCAGACAAGTGCCTCCCCTACCTCACACCAGACCCCGCCCTCCTGGGTCCCATTGGGAAGCAGTTTCCAGGGAAGAGGAAAGAGACTCTTATTTGGTAAATGTCTTAAAAATAATAAGTGAATAAGTTACTTGTATTAATAGATTTCTTTTAATATGTGCTATATGCACAAATTTCAAGTATAGGGTATCAGAGGTAATGTACTTTGAACAAATAAAACTATACTAGTAGCCGGCGCCGCGGTTCACCAGGCTAATCCTCCGCCTTGTGGCACTGGCACACCGGGTTCTAGTCCCGGTCAGGGCACTGGATTCTGTCCCGGTTGCCCCTCTTCCAGGCCAGTTCTCTGCTGTGGCCAGGGAGTGCAGTGGAGGATGGCCCAGGTCCTTGGCCCCTGCACCCCATGGGAGACCAGGATAAGTACCTGGCTCTTGCCATTGGATCAGTGTGGTGCGCCAGCCACAGTGCGATGACTGCGGCGGCCATTGGAAGGTGAACCAACGGCAAAGGAAGACCTTTCTCTCTGTCTCTCTCTCTCACTGTCCACTCTGCCTGTCCAAAAAAAAAAAAAAAATATATATATATATACTAGTAAAATATAAAAGGTATGAACTTACCATTGAAAATAAATTCCAGTATTTTGAAAGTTTGAATAAATTTGTGACAGGTGCAGAGGTACAAAAATCTTTTAATTAATAACAATATTATGAGATTAGAATGGCAGATGTCCTAAACAGCACTCTGGCCTCAGAATCAGCCCTTAAGGCATTTGGATCTGGCTGAAGAGCCCATGAGAGTATTTTAGGCATGGAAAGCCAAGACACTCTGGCAAAAAAAAAAAAAAAAAATAAAAAATAAAAAGAAGCCACCATCTACCGACTACTAAATGAAAGATCTCTGTGAGTGAGATCCCAGTAGAAAGAATGGGCCATCAAAGAAGGAGGTACCTTTCTCTGAAGGAAGGAGAGAACTTCCACTTTGACTATGACCCTGTCTAAATATGATCGAAGTTGGCAAACTCAAAAGGCTTCCATAGAAGCCTTGGCAACTCATGACTAGAGCCTAGGGAGATTACTGATGCCATAAACAACAGTGTCAAATTGTTAAGTCAGCAACAGGAGTCACTGTGTACTTACTCTCCTCATGTAGGATCTCTGTCCTTAATGTGTTGTTCAATGTGAATTAATGCTATAACTAGTACTCAAACAGTATTTTATACTTTATGTTCTGTGTGGGTGCAAACTGATGAAATCTTTACTTAATATATACTAAATTGATCTTCTGTATGTAAAGATAATTGAAAATGAATCTTGATGTGAATGGAGTGGGAGAGGGAGTGGGAGATGGGAGGATTGCGGGTGGGAGGGAAGTTATGGGGGGGGGAGCCATTGTAATCCATAAACTGTACTTCGGAAATTTATATTTACTAAATAAAAGTTAAAAAAAAAACAATATTATGAGACATGTCTTAGGTAATGTGTTATCAAAACCAAAGAGATTGATATTCACTTGTAATTATCAGGTATATAAACTCTCAAATTTTTATTTGTCTCACAATAGTTCCGTTGTTCTTAAGGCTTTTATAGTAAATAAATATGTAAGATTAGGACTTAAAATAACTTTGTATTCAAGTATTACACCTGGGGCCGGCACTAGCCGGCATTCTATATGGGCGCCAGTTCTAGTCCTGGCTGCTCCCCTTCCGATCCAGCTCTCTGCTATGGCTTGGGAAAGCAGTGGAAGATGGCCCAAGTGCTTGGGCCCCTGCACCTGCGTGGGAGACCTGGAAGAATCTCCTGGCTCCTGATTGGCTCAGCTCTGGCCATTGTGGCCACTTGGGGAGAGAACCAGCAGATAGAAGACCTTTCTCTCTGTCTCTCCCTCTCACTGTAACTCTACCTCTCAAATAAATAAATAAAAAGTATTACTCTTAGTTATTTTATATATTCATATTCCATATAAGATTTTGTTTGAAAAAGATGCAGCTGTCAAAAAGCTTAAAAATGATTGCCATAAGCAGTTCACTTGAACTAAAAGCAAAGTATATAATGTTTTAAATTTCTATTACATTCTAGGTTTCTATTAGTTTAAATCAATTAATAGCATTTGTGGTTCTACTATCAGTGACTCTAAAAAATTTTTCTCTAATCTTCATTCTTCAATGAATTTTTTATGTGTACAATATTTTTTCCTGAGTATTGATGTTTAAGCTTTACCTTATAATCCAAATTCTCAAAGCAGCTGAAGGTCACACAATGTTTTCCTAAGACCTGGAATATAAATATGTTTCAATATAGTTCTTGAGTTATGAGACAAAATACTAATGTTTAAACTGCCAGATTAGTAAAATGTGCTCTTTAGAGAAAACTTTTACAATATAAAAATGAACTAGGCCAGCGCCGTGGCTCAATAGGTTAATCCTCCACCTTGCGACACCGGCACACCGGGTTCTAGTCCCGGTCAGGGCTCTGGATTCTGTCCCAGTTGCTCCTCTTCCAGGCCAGCTCTCTGCTATGCTTGGGCCCTGCACCCCATGGGAGACCAGGATAAGTACCTGGCTCCTGCCATCGGATCAGCGCGGTGCGCCTGCCACAGCACGGGCCGGCCGCGGCGGCCATTGGAGGGTGAACCAACGGCAAAGGAAGACCTTTCTCTCTGTCTCTCTCACTGTCCACTCTGCCTGTCGAAAAAAAAAAAAAATGAACTAGATACCAAATTTAGAGATTCACACAACTCAATATAAATATACATATATTAAGATAGTTTTGTTGATTATTTCACAGTGCATTATGACCTTATTTTTATACAAATCTATAAATAAAATACCATAAACTATATGCCTTGTTTTCATTAGTCACTACTTTTATCTCATACACACACACAGTGATGTTGATCATTCACATGTTAGCAGTTAATACCGTTCCATGTAAATTCAAAGCAGTTGTGGGTTTACTGAGATCCACCTCCCCGCAAACAACAGGCATTATGAAATTAATCCATCAATTAATACATGGGTTAATGGATGTGATTATAAAAGCAATGAATATCTTAACAGCAGGAATGGTGTAAATTTAAGATAAGAATGGTGAAACATCTATGAAGTTTGTGGGACAGAAAAGATGTTTTTGTTCTAGATATAGAAGTCACTTACTTTCGCTAGGTCTTTGATAGTCTCAGTTTTTCCTACACCTGCTGGACCAGAAGCACAACCTCCTAGATTCAAGTGTAGGAAGTGTAGGAATGTGAGCCAGCACCGGTCAGTGAGAGGCGTAATGGCCAGTCTTGGGGTACAGCCCAGGTACTCATAGCCATAAGTAAAACTGGCACCTCCTTGAGATACATAGCATAACATCTGTTTTTCATCCCATTTGTACCGCAGATGTCTGCAAGCAACATTTTAAATGCTCTTGTTATTTGGGTGAATTTTTTTTCACATGAAGAAATATAACAAGATTGAAAATGAAGTGTTGACTAAAAGCATTGAAATCAAAACATGAAAATCAAGGGAGAAGGGTGATATAAAACGCATCAATGACTGCATTAGATCTGAAACGACAGAACTCAGAAGACTACACCCCCGTGAGCAGTTTTCCCTCTGGCAAACGGCCTTGCAGAATCACATTGCTCTGATGTGCCATCAGCCTAAGTGGAGGATGTCTATACAAATCACTCCCGAGAAGTCTGCTATGATTTCCAATCAGAATGTGATCGACACATTCTTCAGGATAATCTGGACCGTTTCTGTGAGGGTACCAGAGAAGTGTTGTTTGCATCCAAAGCCATATCAACAACACTGTCTTGTTTTATTTATCTATCGAACAGTTAATCATGTAGCTAATCATAAATGCCTTCCTCCACAACGCTTTGAGTTTAGTCCGTGACCTGTTGTAACTTGATGGTATGTATCATTGACTTTCCTCTGTGTCCCCAGCAGTGCCGACTTACTTCTCAAAATATCAATTTCTTGGGCATTAGCAGTGAAGGAATGCCAAAGAATATTTTTGGAAAGAATCTTTTCATTTGTACTTTTTAAATGTCAAGGGAAAAGTTCCTACATGTTTGCGACAGTTTAGCACTGCTTTGATATTTAATTACAAAAAGAGGCAGCCACAGTCTTTTCAGATTTCCAGGTTCCGAAAGGTCTTACAGAAGGACTGCTAATCACCTTTCTTCTGTTTCTGCTGTCATGGAAGAGTTTATTCACCCTTGTAAGCCGTTTTAAATACTTTATGGGACAACAGATCATAGTATAATCATTTAAAATAAGTAAACTTTTTAAAATAAAGTTTAAATTAAAAAATAAAAAGAAACTCAAAAATCGGTAGCTATGACTTCGGAGAGTGTCAGATGAGAGAACGTGTAATCAGAAGAGAAAGCCTTCAGGAAAAAATTGACTGGGAAGTTTGAGACGCGACAGTTACTCAGGAATTCTGTCTCCTGATCTCTTCTCACCAGTCCGTGGCCCTCTCCTTCTAAACTTCTGGTTTCTAATTGACTCCGGGGCGTGTGAGTCAGGGAGCTCGCTGGAAAGGCTCTACCATGGGTCTCCTCTGCCTACTCTGCTCTAGAATTGCCAGCACAGGGCCAAGAGGACTGAGCTGGATCAGCTACCGACTGACAGCTGCTACCCTGGGGCCGACCTGCCAAAGCAAAGGGGAAAACGCAGCTAGGGAGACAGTGACCAGCTCAGGCAGATGAGGCAGAGAAGGGGTTAAAGAAAATGAGGGGGAGGGGCCGAAGACAGAAAGCAGGATCCACAGGATTAGGTTTGCTTAAAATTTTGTAAATACTCGCAAATTAAAATGTTTGACAGAGTTTGAAGTAGAGAAGCATTCTACCTAAAGATATGCTCGCGAAGAGTTGTTGTATGTAGGATTATAATTCAGACACACCTACCTCGTCCACTCAAAGTCGTCCTCCTTGCAGATATCCTGGAGCAGCAGGCTTCTCACCAGCAGCGCGCCCAGCACGGCTCTCGTCTGCGCGTTGCTGGTGTCCAGCAGCTCTGCAGCCTCTTCCAGATGCCCTAGCACACCAGCGTGGACGTTCTCGAGAGCGTCCCTCGACTGCGCACTCGCGAAACTTTTAATGCAATCATCATAAAATACGATCTGACTCTGAAAAGTAAATATATATAATAACTGCAGCCTACTTTTACTTTTAAATGAAAACACTCTCATATATATGCTACGTGGGTTTGAGAAAAGAAAGCTTACACATTTGCATGTATTTGAGGGCTAAAACTTAAATTTTAACGAATGTTTATAGAGGCCTTATTCATTTTTTTATATCTTATATTTATTCATTTGAAAGACAGAGTTACAGGGAGGCAGAGGCAGAGAGAGAGAAATCTTCCACCTGCTGGTTCACACTCCATACGGCCACAACGGCCAGAGCTGGGCTGATTGGAAGCCAGGAGCCAGGAGCCAGGAGTTTCTTCCGCTTTTCCCTTGTAAGTGCAGGGCCCCATGCACTTGGGCCATCTTCCACTGTTTTCCCAGGCCATAGCAGAGAGCTGGATGGGAAGTGGAGCAGCCAGGACTAGAACTAGAGCCCATATGGGATATCAGCACTGCAGGGGTGGCTTTACTTGCTATGCCATAGCACTGGCCCGCCATCTGTATTTTCTAAATCTTTTATTCTTAATCCCATCATCAGTAAAAAATAACCTCAGACAGTAACAATAGAGCACTCCAAGAGGAGATCAGTGCCACTTTCTCCACGGATCTCACACGTAATACACCTAGAACACACTGAGTGTGTACTCACAGAAGGCACAGGATAGGCAACCTGGTGTATCCATCAGCACTCTCATTCCTAACCAGGACTCTCTTAAAGAATTCTGTAGACTTATAATCTATGAAGCAGGACTCTCGCAAAGGTGTTGTGGACTCAAAAGATCAACAGGAGGGTAGAGACGGAGGCTTGGGAGATAAGCTGGAGCAGAAGTCTGGGGCACACGGTGTGAACCACAGGGCAGGCCGAGTCATGGCACGGTCTTCCCAGACGCCATTGCTCTGCTGTCCCTGAGATGTTTATTCCAGAATCACAGCCTCAGGAGAGTGGATCCGGGGGCTGAGACCCGTCCCTGGGCTAGGAGGATCTTGCTCCAGTGCGGGACACTATGAACCAGATTTTCTGTTTGCTTGTTTGTGGAGGAGTTCTCAATGCTGTATCCTGGGGAAAATCTGTCTGGGAATCTTCTCAGGAGCCAGTGCATACAGATATCTCCTCATTCCCTCTCCCCGCAAGTGTCTTTATCTCCATTAGGAGTCAACTCTTAGTCGTGTAACATATTCAGAAATGTGAGATAAAGGAGCCTTGGTAAGCTGCCTGCTGGGAAGAGAAATTAACAGCAGGGAGTGCATTTGTGGGAAGAACTGTGGCAGGGGCACATTCAGAGACTGGAGCCAATGTCTTCCATAATGTGTTTTTCGAAACACAATGCAGCTTGCTTCTTAGCTGAACATCTCTGCAGACTAGGGCTGGGGAGAGCTGTGCCTGGTAGAGGAGGTTTGATTATTTGCATTTCCTATGGAAATGCACAGACTGCTTCATTATGATGTTGTCACCTTTGTAAATAGCAGCTTAAAGAAATTCTTCAGTTTAAGATCCAAAAGTGGTTTATGAAATTTCAGTCAAGTGAAGAGCAAAAGGGACTAAGATTTGGTTATTGTAATTTTTTTTTTTTTTTTGACAGGCAGAGTGGACAGTGAGAGAGAGAGACAGAGAGAAAGGTCTTCCTTTGCCGTTGGTTCACCCTCCAATGGCCACCGCAGCCAGCGCGCTGCAGCCGGCGCACTGCACTGATCAATGGCAGGAGCCAGGAGCCAGGTGCTTTTCCTGGTCTCCCATGGGGTGCAGGGCCCAAGCACTTGGGCCATCCTCCACTGCACTCCCTGGCCACAGCAGAGAGCTGGCCTGGAAGAGGGGCAACCGGGACAGAATCCGGCGCCCCAACCGGGACTAGAACCCGGTGTGCCGGCGCCGCAAGGCGGAGGATTAGCCTAGTGAGCCGCGGCGCCGGCCTTGGTTATTGTAATTTGTATCGGCAATCCCAGGATGTTTTATTAGCAATTACTTGAAAATTGTGGTAGGTCAAGCCAAGTAAAATGATGTTATTTTTGTTATTAAAAAAAAAAAAAATAGGGGGCGGGACTGTAACTGTGGTGTACCGGATAAAGCTTCTGCCTGCAGTGCCAGCATCCCATATGGGCGCCAGTTTGAGTCTTGGCTGCTCCACTTCCAATCCAGCTCTCTGCTATGGTCTGGAAAAGCAGTAGAAGATGGCCCAAGTGCTTGGGCCCCTGCACCCATGTGGGCATACCCAGGGGAAGCTCCTGGCTCCTGGCTTTTGGATTGGCACAGCTCCAGCTGTTGCAACCAACTGAAGCAGCAGATGGAAGGCCTCTCTCTCTCTGCATTCCTTCTATCTCTGTGTAACTCTGACTCTCAAGTAAAATAAATAAATCTTAAAAAAAAAAAAAGGGTGGGGGGGGCTGGCGCTGTGGGTTAGCTGGTAAAGCCACCACCTGCTATGTTGTTATCCCATTTGGGCACTGGTTCAAGTCCCTGCTGCTCCACTTCTGATCTAGCTCTCTGCTATGGCCTGGGAAAACAGTAGAAGATGGCCCAAGTCCTTGGGCCCCTGAACCCACGTGGGAGACCTGGGAGAAGCTCCTGGCTCTTGGCTTTGAATCAGCTCAGCTCTGGCTGCTGCAGACATTGGAGAGTGAACCAGTGGATGGAACACCTCCCTCTCTGTCTCTACGTCTCTGTCACTCTCCCTTTCAAATCAATAAATAAATTTCTAAAAAATATTTATTTGAAAGAGTGGCAGAGGAAGAGCAGGAGAAGAGAGACTTCTTTTTTTTAAAAAAGATTTACTTATTTTTTATTTGAAAGTTAGAGTTACACACACATACAGAGCGGGGGAGGGAGGGAGAGATGGAGGGAGGGAGGGAGGGAAGGAGAGAGAGAGAGAGAGAGGTCTTTCACCCACTGGTTCACTCCCCAAAGGGCTGCAACGACCAGAGCTGGGCCGATCGGAAGCCAGGAGCCTCTTCCAGGTCTCCCATGTGGGTGCAGGGGCCCAAGCACTTGGGCCATTTTCTGCTGCTTTCCCAGGTCATAACAGAGAGCTGGATTGGAAGTGGAGCAGCAGGGACTTGAACTGGAGCCCATATGGGATGCTGGCCCTGCTTTACCCGCTATGCCACAGCGCTGGCCCCAAGAGATCTCTTATCTTTCACTCTCCAATTGCCTCCAACAGCCGGGGTTAGGCCAAGAGCTAGGAACTCCCCAGGCCTCCCACTGCATATCAGGGGCCAAGTACTCGAGCCATCATCTGCTGCCCCATAGGGAGCACATTGGCAGGAACTGGAATTGGGAGCAGAGCTATGGGCACCCCAGCTGGCATCTTAACTACCATACCAAACGTCCATTCCAGAATAAACTGCTTACATCTCTCTAGAGCCTTTAAATCACTCCAACTTCTGGAGCAAGAGACAGAAAAGGCCCTTTCTCCCTTAGCTTCTATGACAGATCTCCTAATTTTTTTTTCTTCTTCTAGCTACTCTTTTTCGGCCCTCTTCATGGATTCCCCTCTTATGCCTACTTCTTAAACGTTGGTGTTTCTTGGGATCTTTCTCTGTCCCTCCTCCTCCATCCTGCTGGGGGGAGTTTTATCACTTCCGTGGCTTCCATCACTGCTTCTCAAAAGAACTGCCAATTTTGACTTTCTAGAGATCAGCCTTTCTTAGTTTTTCTTCTCATTTGCTCTCTTTTTTGAAAAGATTTATTTACTTGAAAGGCAGAGTTAGAGAGAGGGAAAGAAAGAAAGAAAGAAAGAAAGAAAGAAAGAAAGAAAGGAAGGAAGGAAGGAAGGAAGGAAGGAAGGAAGGAAGGAAGGAAGGAAGGAAGGAAGAAAGGAAAAAAGAAAGAAAGGAAGGAAGAAAGATAGGTAGGTCTTCCATTCACTGATTCTCTCCCCACACAGCCGCAACAGCTGGGGCTGGGAGAGGCTGAAGCCAGGAGCTTCTTCTGGGTCTCCCACATGTGTGCAGGGGCCCAAGGAGTTAGGCCATCCTCCACTGCTTCCCCAGGTGTATTAACAGGGAGCTAGAGTGGAAGTGGAGCAGCTGAGACTTGAACCAGTGCCCATATTGGGATGCTGACGCTGCAGGAGGTGGCTTAACCTGCTACACCACAACGCCAGCCCCTCTCATTCTCTTTTGAGCGCTCAGCAAACAGTAACTGGCTTTAACAAACATGCCCGTAGTAGTAGGCAGAATATTGACTTTCTAGAAAGACATCTATGTCCTCAGGAGGCAGAGCAAGATGGTAGCTGAGTGAGACATTCCAGCACGCTCCCCGCGGAGAGACCAGTTTGGGTGGCTACTCATGGGCTAGACTAAGTTCACAAGAGGTGAGGAAGCCAAGAGAGAAACCACAGGGCCTGGTTTTAGTTTAAGAAGAAGACTTTTGGGCCAGTGCCATGTTGTAGTAGCTTAATCCTCCACCTGTGGCACCAGCATCCCATATGGGCACCTGTTGTAGTGCCGGCTGCTCCTTTTCCAATCCAGCTCTCTGATGTAGCCTGGGGGAGCAGTAGAAGATGGCCCAAGTGCTTGGGCCCCTGCAACCATATGGATATTGGACTTTCATATCCTGGCCTCAGCCAGCTCAGGCCTTGAGTCCACCTCAGCAGCAGGCATATAAGCAGTGTGGGCTTTGGTCCTACCCACAATGTACTGGACTTAGCAGGCTGCAAGCTCTGGTGTGATCTAATATCACAGGGTTTGTGGCCATGGGACTACCCACTCATCCCTCCCAAGGCAGTACAATGTGGACAAACCGTCCACTTGGGGAAGAGTTGGACCTAACAGACAGCTACAGAACATTGCATGCAACAGCTGCAGAATATACATTCTTCTTCATAGCTCATGGAAAATTCTCCAGGATAAGTCATATGGTGATTCACAAACTGAGTTTCAAAAATTTTTAAGTACTGAAATTATATCTAGTACCTTTTCTTACCACAAAAGCTAGAAATCAATAACAAGAAAACTTTGGAAACTACATAAGTATATTGAAATTAAACAATTTACTCCTGAACAACCAACATATAAAGGAAGAAACTGAGAAGGAAAATTTCCAGTGTCTTGAAACTACTGAAAATGGAGACACAATCTGCCAAGACCTACAGGATACAACACAGAGGTACTAACAGGGAAGCAATTAATACCTACATTAAAAAAATCAGAAAGGTCTAAAATAAACACCCTATCATGCACCTCAGAGAATTAGATGAACAAGAATAAACCAAAACCAAAATTAGTAGAAAGAAGAATAAAGATCTGAGCAAAATAGAGACTAGATAACACAATAGAAAATATCAGTGAAGCAAAGAGATGGCTTTTCAAGAAAGATAAAATCAACAAAGTTGTAGCTAGGCTAAGGAAAAAAGAGGATGCAAATAAATAAAATCAGAAACAAGAAGGAAAATGTTACAACTGACACCATGAAAACACAAAGGATTATGAGATACTATTACAAACAATTAATACACTGACAAAGTTGGTAACCTAGAAGAAATGGACAAATTCTTGGATACAGATAACTTACTAAGATTGAGTTACAAATAAGCAGAATATCTGAACTGATGAATGAGTAATAATATTAAATCAGTAATTAAAAATTCTCCCATCAATTAAAAATCCAGAATTAAATGGCTTCACTATTGAATTCTACCCAACATTTAAAGGAGAAATAATACCAATACATCTTAAATTATTCAAAAAAAGTTGAAGAGGAAGGCTTTTTTTTTCTCTAAATGTGTTCTATAAGAATAACTTCCCTGATGCCAAAACCAGGCAAGGACTAAACAATAAATGAAAGCTATAGGCCAATATTCTTGATGAACATGGATTCAAACATACTCAACGAAACACTAGCAAACTGAATCCAACATGACATTAAAAGAATCATTCAGTGCAATCAGGCAGGATTCATCCCAGGCATACAGGATGGTGATTCAACATACACAAATCAATGAACATGATATATCACATCAGCAGAATGAAGGAAAAACACCATGTGATCGATCATCTTAATACAGAAAAGGCGTTCAATAAAAGTCAGTATCCATGATAAAAATCACTGCACAAATTAAGTACAGAAGAAGTGTACCTCACAGCTAACATCATACTGAATGGGGAAAAGCTGAAGGCTCTCTCTGTTCTGGAATGATACAAATATATTGATCCAGGCCTTCTTCTCACCCTTATTCCCTTTCCTGCCCTTGCTGCCCACACCTTGGGGCCACCCACGCTCTTTGCCTTTGCTTCTCTGCTCGTGCTAAGCTGCTTGTGGCTGCTCATAATCAAACGTTTACTTGCTGCACATGGCTCTTGGCCTGCTTTCTGCTCAGGATGGACCTCAACTTAATTTCTGGACTTTTCTTTCTCCCTTAAGGGCTTCACTTCCCTATGCATTTCTCTCACTAAATAAAAAGCTTAAAACCGTACAAAACATATTGATCCTACATCAAATTTTGTACAGATTCAATGTCCTAACAAAACACTAACAAAAGACATCCTATGTTCATGGATTGGTAGAATCGATACTGTTAAAAATATCCATACTACCTCAAGTTATTTGCAGATTCAAGGCTCGATTGAAACACCAATGATGTTCTTCATAGAACAACAAAAAAAATCCTAAAGTTTGGAATCAGAAAAAAAAAAAAACAAAAAACAAAAAACAAACAAATATGAATAGCCAAAGCAATCTTGAGCAAAACGAGTAAAGCTGGAGGTATCACAATACCTGACTTCAAAATATATACTACAAAGATACAGTAATTAAGGTGGCACAGAATTAGCATGAAGAAGACGTATGCACCAGTGGAACAAAAGAGAGAACCTACTAGTAAACTTATGCATTTACGGCTAACTGAACTTTGACAGGGCTGCCAAGAACATGCACTGAAGAAAATGCAGTCTTTTCAAGACATGGTGCTGGAAGAGTTAGAAATCCAATGAAGAATGAAACTAGACCCTACTTATCACCATATTAAAAAATGGA